TGTGTGAAGCCTTGGGATTGAGTCCCAGTGCACTTCCACAGTGTAACAATACATGTATACTCTTCCAGTTTGTAAATGTCAATCATTAATTCATTTTTAAGCCTAGCATGGGCTCCGGTGCCCAGTATTGTTTCCAAAGCTGTGGGAATGAAGACCTTTTCCTGTTCCCAGGCAGACGTGGAGAGAGGGGTAGGAACCATTCAGAAGGCAGAAAGAGTCAGGTGCTGGTTGGTGGTACCTGCCTGTCATCTTAGCTACTCAGGAGGCTGAGATCTGAGGATCACAGTTCAAAGCCAAGCCTGGACAGGAAAATCTGAGAGACTTTTTTTTTTTGGTCATGGGCTTGAACCCTGGGCCTGGGCGCTGTCCCTTAGCTCTTCAGTTCAAGGCTAATGCTCTACCACTTGAGCCACAGCACCACTTCTGGTTTTCTGGTGGTTTTTTGGAAATAAGAGTCTCATGGACTTTCCTGCCTGGGCTGGATTTGAATTGTGATCCTCAGATCTCTGCCTCCTGAGTAGCTAGGATTATAGGCGTGAGCCACTGGCACCCAGGCTGAGAGACTCTGATCTCCAAAAAATTGGAAGTAGTGCTGTAGCGCAAGTGGTAAAGCACTTGTCTTGAGCTGAAGAGATCAGGGACAGTGCCCAGGCCCAGAGTTCAAGCCCCACCACAGAAAAAAAAAAGAAATTTCAGTCATATCTCAAAAGAAATTATACACATATGCACAAAAAGACAAAGTCCCTTAGCCCCAAGTATAAGAATTCACATGTCCAGGAAGTGGTGCTGTGGTTCAAGTGGTAGAGTGCTTGCCTTGAGCTGAAGAGCTGAGGGACAGCGCCCGGGCCCAGAGGTCAAGACCCACAACCGCCAAAAAAGAAAAAAGAAAAAAAAAAGAATTCCACATGTCCATCAACAAGAGAATGGGTAAATATTTAGTGTTGTACTTTTCAGAACTAAGTTCCATAAGAAAATACTACAAAATGCCAGGTGCTGGTGGCTCATGCCTGTCATCCTACCTACCCAGGAGGCTGAGATCTGAGGATCAGACTTCAAAGATAGCCCAGGCATGAAAGTCTGTGAGACTTATTCCCAACAAACTACTCAAAACCTGGAAGTGGAGCCATGAGCGCTAGCCTTGGGGAGGAAGGGGCGGGGGAGAGCACAGGGACATTGCTCCAGGCCCTGAGTTCAAGCCCCATGATTGGCACCCCTCTGTACCCCCCACAAAAGAAATAAAATGAAAAAACTACCAAGTAACCGTGAAAACAATCTATACTTAACATGGCTTCGGTAGCTATTGACTGACTGATTGAAGCCAGTTACTACTAAATAAGGCAGACCAATGGCTCCATTGACCACGGATTCCAAACCACGTCAAATAATATAATTTGAGGAGAACATATGAGAGGTAAAGAGAGAATGATGATGAGGATGAGGATGAGGATGATGACGACGACGACAGAGAGAGAGCTAGAGAGCATGAAGTGGGCTTGGGGGATGCTAGAATGTTCTCCTTGACAACTTGACCTGGGCAAAGATGATAAGGGTGTATTTATTTGATGGGCTGTATGTATTTATGATTTGTGTGCTCATTAATAGGTGTACTTTATTTCCGTAAGAGATTTGAAAATGAGATCCGTGAATCATATCAGAATGCTGACCTACAAGGAAACAACAGGCCTAAGAGGAAACAAAACAAACATAAAAGTGAATAAGTAATTAAATACGTGGGTGGGGGGGATGATAAGCAGCTAAGTAAGTAGATAAAATGGGATCTGGGTTCCCAGCCGTTCTGGAATTTGGGGGTATCTAATATGGAACGTAGCCATTTTGACTCAAATTTCACTAAATTAAAATCTCAGTCCCAGTCCAGTGCTGATGGCTCACACCTATAATCCCAGATACTCAGTAAAGTGAGATCTGAAGGGATTGACCTTTGAAGCTAAGCCCAAGCCAGAAAAGTCTTAGCTCTTCAGCTCTTCATTTCCACCTAGCTACTAAAAAGCTGGAAGTGGAGCTGTGGTTCAACTGGTAGACTTTGGATGGTGATCCTCAGATCTCAGCCTCCTGAGTAGCTAGGATGTCGGGTGTAAGCCACCAGTGCCCAACTCCAGGTAGAGGATTTTGACAATTTGGTTTACATTCAGTGTTTTCTTTTTTTTTTGGCCAGTCCTGGGGCTTGAACTCAGGGCCTGGGCACTGTCCCTGAGCTTCTTCTGCTCAAGGCTACTTGAGCCACAGCGCCACTTTCAGCTTTTACTGTGTATAGAATACTGAGGATTCGATCCCAGGGCTTCATGCATGCTTAGGCAAGCACTCTACCACTGAGCCACATTTCCCAGCCCCTCAGTGTTTTCTTTCTTTTGAGGAATCCAGGAGTCCACTCTCTCAGCCCTCCGAGGGCCTCTGTCCTCCCAATGGGCCCCCTTTCCGTGGGTGTGTGCTTATCCCCTGCTTTTTCTAGCCCTCTTTGGCTATTATCCAGCTTCGTGTTGACTTACTTTGTTTTCCTGGTTGACTTTAGAGCCAATGGGAGCTTACCCTTGTGAGTATGAGGGTGCCCAGCGTCTCCCACCCTGACCTCCCCGAGGTTCAGTCCTCCATGATAAGAGAGGAGGAGGGGCTGTCCAGCCAGCAGCTGCCTCGTGTTGACCAAGGATTTGCAGGCTTCGCAGCTGTTCTTCCCTGGGGGAGACTCCTTTGCAAACAGTGATGTTCCATACTTAGAGGACAGAAGCAAGGCCGGAGTCAAGTCAAGACCTCAGGATGTGGACTCTAGCCCACACTGCCTCTCCACATGCTGCCCGGACCTCCAACACTCACCTCAGGTCAATTCTGGGATGATGAGGAAGCACAGATTCTCCTCAAAATCCTACTCAGGCTAGAGGGACCCCCCCCCAACACACACCATACACAATGTAAAAGCCAACGTTTCTCCAGGGGATGGGTGCACCTTGTGGTTCATGCCTTTCATCCTAGCTACTCAGAAGGCTGAGATCTGAGGATCGTGATTAGAAGCTAGCCTGGGCAGCAACCACCAAGAGAAGCTGTGGCTCAAGTGGTAGAGCACTAGCCTTGAATGAGAAAGGAAAGGGGAAAAAAAGCCAGGCACTGGTGGCTCACTCCTGCAATCCTAGCTACTCAGGAGACTGAGATCTTTTCATTTTTATTTATTTATTTATTTAAAAAAATTTTTTTTGGGTCCGGTCGTGGGGCCTGAACTCTGGGCCTGGGTGCTGTCCCTCAGCTCTTCAGCTCAAGGCTAGCGCTCTACCACTTGAGCCGCAGCGCCACTTCCAGCCTTTTTTCTTTTTTGCTTATATGGTGCTGAGGAATCGAACCCAGGGCCTCAGGCATGCAAGGCAAGCACTCTACCACTGAGCCACCTTCCCAGACCCATAACACTCTTATCTCCAATTAACCATTAGAAAACTGGAAGTGGCACTGTGGTTCAAGTGGTAAAGTGCTTGCCTTGAGCTGAAGAGTGCAGGGACAATGCCCAGGCCCAGAGTTCAAGCCCCACGATCAACAGAGAGAGAGAGAGAGAGAGAGAGAAGAAACAAAAGAAACAAAACGCAAAAGTTGCTGAGGGAAAGAATTCTCCAGGAAGTAGCATGCTCATGACTTTGAAGAATGAGGAAGCAGACCCTTGACCTTCATTTTCACACCCCCCCCCCCACCCAGGCCTCATCCTGAATTCACTCTCCATATGAAACTACAGAACAACCTACCTCCCATACAAATCACCCAGAATCCCCTTGGAAAGCAATAAACTAATCTCTCTCTCTCAATCCTAGTTGTGGGGTCTAGGCACTGTCTCTGAGCTCTTTTGCTCAAGGCTAGCGCTCTACCACCTTGAGCCACAGCACCAATTCCGGTTTTCTGATGGTTCATTGGAGATAAGAGTTTTACAGACTTTCCTGCCTAGGCTGGCTTTGAACCACGATCCTCACATCTTAAGCTCTAGAGTAGCTAGGATGACATGTGTGAGTCACCAGTGCCTAGCTAATAAGCTAATTTCTCTGTGCAAGTGAGAAGCCACAAATTACAATGGACTAAAGGTAGACACATTACAGCTCATACTACAGACCTGGGTCATGGTCTTAGACCCCTGCCTCTTGCCCTCTAGTGTCAAGAAATTCATTTGTGGAGACAGGGAAGAGACCAGGACCCGGATGTGAACATTTTTCTCTATTGTTTCTGGCAGGGGCCAAAGGAAAGAATCTGGCCAGCAAGCCAGCAAACATAACCAATGCCACCTCCCACCTCTCCCCTACTATCTCCACCCTACCCCACCCCTGCCCAGAAACCCAGGCTCTTGTCACCCTGATCCCCAGCTGTCTCCCTTGGGGATACCACCCTTCTAAGACTGAGCTTTCCCACTGGCTCCCAGAGTGTAGCCACCAGCTGTTCCCAAGCCTCCCCCCCCAAACCCAGGCTCCAGAGGCTTAATCCACCCTATCAAGGGCTTCCCAGTCTCCCCATTCCAGCTGGCCCCTGAGATCAGCAGCCTCCTCCCGGAAGTTGGCATCATCAACCTGGCAAATGGCCCAGGGTGTAACCCAAGGAGTGGGGGTGGGGGCAAGAAACTCCACTATATAGCCCAGTCCATAGGCTGACCCCGTAGCTCCGGGGACCTGCAGGTGAGAAGGGTTGGGGGGGGGCCCTTTTGGCAAAGGTGGGGACCGGAAGTTCCTTGGACTTGTCTCTGGCACCAGCCCTCTTCCCCTTCCCCACCCCACCTGTCCTTCTGGATATTTCATCTCTCTTTCTTACCCTTTGGGGTCTTTGCCCTCTCCACCTTACCCCCAGGCCCATTGGATGGCCAACCTCCCCTCCCCTGCACACTCACTCAACACTGACATGGCCTGCAATCTGGCCAGCCTGGCATCACCTACTCAATTTCCCTCCAGGCTCTTATCCTGATGCTGGCCCCTTCTGTCTTCTCCAGCCCCTCTCCCACAAACCAAGCAGCTTCTCCTTCTCTGCTTGCAGGCATGGGAGCGCTGCGGAGCTGGCGGACCCTCTGGGCTGGAGCAACCCTCCTGTGGGGTAAGTCGGACCCAGCCTCTTCCATCCATGGTCTTGTTCTAATATGAGCAACCCTGTCTGTTTGGGTTCAGCGCCCTGCTTTCCTGTCCCCTCCCCAAACCCAGCTCCCACTGTGCTCCCGATTAGCTGAGATCAGAAAGAGACCCTTAGTATCTGGAAAGAAATATGGCAGAAACACCCCCCCCCCTCTGAGGGAAAGCAGGTTAAAAATGAATAAAGGAAACACACAAACAAAAATACTATAGCTGGGTGCCGGTGGCTCATGCCTGTCATCCTAGCTACTCAGGAGGTTGAGATCTGAGGATCACGGTTCAAAGCCAGCCCGGGCAGGAAAGACTGTGAGACTCTTATCTCCAATAAACTACAAGAAAACCAGAAGTGGCATTGTAGCTCAAGTGGTAGAGTGCTCGCCTTGAGCTGAAGAGCTGAGGGACAGCTCCCAAGCCTAGAGTTCAAGCCCCATAGCCAACAAAAAAAAAACAAAACAACAAAAACCCTACCATAGTTCATTTCAGTTGCTGTAAATCCTAGCTATTCAAAAGGCTAATAGCTGAGGATCACAGTTCAAAGCCAACCTATTCAGAAAAAAATCTGAGAAACTTATCTCCAATTAACCAGCAAGAAAAGCTAGTAGTAGGGCTGGGAAGCTGGCTCAGTGGTAGAGTGCTTGCCTTGCATGCCTGAGGCCCTGGGTTCGATTCTTCAGCACCACATAAGCAGAAAAAAAAAAGCTGGAAGTGGCGCTGTGGCTCAAGTGGTAGAGTGCTAGCCTTGAGCTGAAGAGCTGAGGGACAGCACCCAGGCCCAGAG